CATTATAGACAACACCAACAAATTAAACAACAACAACAACAACAGCATACACAACCACATTATAGACAACATCAACAAATTGAACAACAACAGCATACACAACAATAGATAAACAACAAATTGTTCCATTACTACACAATATTCAGTTGTTATATTATATTTATTTACTGTTGTTTTTGTTCTTAAAATTTTTTACTACTGCTTTTAAAATTACATTTTTAAAAATTTCAGTATTACTACTGCAACAGCTGATGTTTACAGATTTCAAGAAATCCATACCAGGTTTAAATGAGTCAACAGAGTCATCGTGATCACAATCATTAAATCATTTAAAATTTAATATCGAAAAAATTTATTTCCAGTCGTCATCAATCACAATTATCACCATCACAATCGTTATCACAATCATCATCATTGTCATCACAACTCACTTCTCTCCCTCTTCCATGACCTTGACCTTTTCAGTTGACCCCAACTGAGCTTGACCTCTCCTTGCCCTCCTCATCAGACAGCTGGTCACACCGCAACCGAGTAGATGATAACACGAGACATCGATGATGACGAGGATGACGATGATGATGACGATGAGGAGGAGAATGATGAGGGGAAGGATGGGGGAGCTAGACTGTTGAATGCGGGCCGCCTGTTCTGCCTCTGATGCTTTACAAATGATGATGGTGGTGGTGACAGATTGGTGATGATGGTGATGACAGATTGGTGATGGTGGTGGTGACAGAATGGTGACGACACTGATGTAAAAATAATGATTGAAATGATGATGATTTGTCATATCACAGACAAAATGTCATATCATGATATTAAAAATAATGATCCAATTGAAAAATGACAATTCATTATTTTATAACAAAAAGTATAATTTTTTCTTTTGCATCTCTCTTTCTTTCTATTTCTCTTTTTTTCTCCTTCTTTTTCTCATACTCTTTTATTTCTTTTTTTTATTCTCTTTACTCTCTCTTTTTCTCTCTCTCTCTTTTTTTTCTCTCTCTCTTTCTCTCACCACCAACATCTCACCAACCCTTTTTTGTGGTGAACTCTAGCGAGGGGCAGAAATCCGACCAGCCAACCTCATTCTTGGCCCTAACTTGAACTTCATAAGTTGTATTGTCGTCAAGGTCGTCCAAGAAGTATGACGACATTGGATGGCTAGCATGGTCACTTTTGGTCTTCGTCAGCCAATCAGAATAGACCACTTGACCTTGATCTATGGATTTCTAATTGGGTCATGTTATGGGTTAGGATGAGATTTTAGGTGTTGTCATTATAATGCGTGCGTGCGTGTGTGTATGCATGTATGCAGAAATAAAAAGAGGAAGAGAAAGAGATAGAGATTGAGAGAGAGAAATAGAGATTGAGAGAGAGAAATAGAGATTAAGAGAGAGAGAGAAATAGAGACAAAGAATCGAACCTTAATACAATAAACAGCATTAAATTTATATTATTTTTGTGTGAAGTAAAGAGAGGAAGACAGAAAGAGAAAGAAAGGTAGAAAGAGAGAGAGAGAAAAAAAAGAGAGAGAGAGGGAGAGAAATACTAACCATCCTATATCGAAACTCATAATCCAAGATTGGAAATCCCCCAGTGATAGGTTTTTCCCACTCGATCAGGTGACCGAACGCCTCGGAATAATTGGTCCGTTTGATGATAATTGGGTAAGGTTGGCCTACATTTCAAAAAGGAAACTCATTTCATTAATTAGTTGTTATTAGTTATTAGTAACTATAAAAATTGTTAAAATACTCAAATTTCTGTTTTAAAACAATTGACGTCAATTTTTTTTTTAATAAAAATCTTTCATAAAAAAAACTTAATAAGAAAAATAAAATTCCAACAACAAACGCTAACGAGTTGATTCAGTTTTGGCCTTGACCTTCTTGTAGCCTCCCAGCCCCACCTCCGTCCTGGCCCTGACCTTCATCACGTACTCCGTGCTGGGTTCAAGGCCGTCTACTCTCCATTTGCTGCCCTCTTGATTTATCATCATCATCATCACAATCATTATCATCGTCGTCGTCGTCGTCATTACTATTATTTATATTATTATTAATATTATTATTATTGTGATTAGTAATAGTAGTAGTAGCAGTAGTAGTAGTAGTAGAATAGTAGTAGTAGTAATAGTACTAATGTAGTAGTAGTAATAGTGGTAGTAGTAGTAGTAGTGGTAGTAGTAGTAGTAGTGGTAGTAGTAGTAGTAGTAGTAATTAGCGTATTTCATAACAATCGTCATCATCATCATCATCAAACTCACCAACTCTAGTCACGTGAGCAAGGTTATGCATATAAGTAGGATGTTCCTCAGATGAAGATGACAACGACGACGATGATGACGATGATGGAACTTTTTCGATATTTACTATAACGGAAATTTGTCAAACATTTCAACACCTTAAAATCGTTTTTGCAATACACACACATGTAATGAAAATTGTTCCATTACATGGTCACGTGGGCTAGTTACTAGCATAAAGCACGGGTGCTCACCTAGGGGAGAGCGCCGTATGGTCACGTGGGTTGGCTACTAGACCAAAGTACAAGCGCTTACCTAGGAGAGAGCACCGTGCAAGTCTATAAATAGCCTGCGCAAATGAGGTAAGCCTCTTTCTTTTCTGTGGCTCTTGTGCCGGAGTCGACATTAGAAAAGTTGGTTATTGTATCGTTGCATTTTCGTTAATTTGGTTTATTCGATTAATTATTAAGTTAGGTTTTAATAAAGGAGGATTAATAATATATCTGTCGTTGCGTTTAGTTAATATCGAACCCGTTACACACACATACACTCATAAACAATGCACTTATTACACACATTCACGCACATAAACACATATACACGCACATATTAAACACACATACACACGCATATAAACACACACAAAAAAACTTACTAACCAAATTATCCACACACACACACCACACACACACACACACACACACACACATACACACACAGACAATAGTCCACAATTCACAATTAACTAATTCACAATGGCAAGCACGCACATACACACGCAAAGAAAGAAAGAAAGAAAGATAAAGAGAGATGCACGAATACAAACTTTCAATAGACTGACCATCATCCTTGACCTCTTGATACTCGACCTGGTAACCCTGAATGACCTCGCCACCGTTATCGTCGGGATCGACAATGTCCAGTAGGAATCCCGTGGGAAGACTTTCAAGGTGTCTTACGGATCTAGGAATTCCAGGAACAGCTAATGGTGGTGGTGATGATAATGATGATGATGATGAAGACGACGACGACGATGATGATAACGATGATGATGGCGATGATGATGATGATGATGATGATGACGATGATAAAGATGACGACGATGATGATGATGTCTGTATCTATTTGTAAGTTTGCTGTTTACTAACTGGCTTTTTTCAGCACGATAGCAACATTATCATTTCCATATTCGTTGCTGGCTTCACATGTTAGCTCTCCATAAATCCATGTTTCTTCATCCTCTTTTGATACTGTTATCTGTGGTGTATGGTGGTATGGTGTGGCTGTGGTGGCATGATATAGTGTGGCTGTGGTGGTGTGGTGTAGTCTGGCTGTGGTGTGATTGTGGTTGTGTGGTGTGGTGTGACTGTGGTGGTGTGGTGTGGCTGTGGTGGTATGGAGTAGCTGTAGCTGTGGTGGTGTAGCTGCGGTGGTGGTGGTGTAGCTGTGGTGGTGGTGGTGTAACTGTGGTTGTGATGTAGCTGTGGTGGTGGTGGTGGTGTAGTGTGGTATGGTTTAGTGCTGCAATAAAAAGTTGTTGTGCGTTTCATAATGAAAGAATTTTACATATACGACATTACTAATACTGCTTCTGTAGCTACTGTTACTACTGCTGCTGCTGGATTTGCTTCTACGGCTACAACAACAACTACTACTACTACTTCTGTTGTTGTTGCTACTACTATTACTACTACGACTATTATTGATAATAATAATATTTCTGTTAATAATGATGATGACGATTGTAATGCGAATAAAAACGTTGTAACAGTTTTTATTGATTTAAAATTGTATAGACTATTTTTAGCATTAGTAATGGTATCAGTAGTAGTAGTAGTAATAGTAGTAGTAGTAGTAGTAGTAGTAGTAGTAGTAGTAGTAGTAGTAGTAGTAGTAGTAGTAGTGGTAATAGTGGTAGTAGTAGTAGTAGTAGTAGTAATAGTTGTAGTAGTAGTAGTAATAGTAGTAGTGGTGGTAATAGTGGTAGTAATAGTAGTATTAGTAATAGTAGTAGTAGTAGTAGTGGTGGTGGTAGTAGTGGTAGTAGTACTGGTAGTAGTTATACCTGAAGAACACTCAATCCGTCGTTGACTTTGAATAAATTGTACGTTTCGTTAGCATTTTCAATGGGTGACTTGTGGTTGTACCATTTGATGTCGGAGGGTGGCACAGCATCAACTTCGCATGAAACGTTGCGTGTCTTGCCAACCCACGCGTTCACAGAGGCCGGCGGCTTTTTCTTATTTAGAATTTTTGGTTTATCTGTGTGGTTTTTTAACTTATGTATAAATTTTTTATTGTTTTTATTTACAACATTGGTTTTATTATTATTATTTCACTAAAGTCTGTTTCTTTTTTGCCTACCCAACCCTACCCAAACTAACAAACGATGGTCAGGTGCGCTGAACTTTGAACTTTGGAGACCTCATTAGCAACTTCACACTTGTACACCCCTGCGTCAGATGGTACCGACTTATCAATTATCATCCTCAAAATTCCGACCCCATTCTTGAATGTGTCCATTCGGGCGATACCATTCTGAATGGTGGGATGATTTGAAGGGTGGTGCAAATCAAATAATGAGTTGAATGTTTAAATTTTACTTGTTATATTTCAAAATTCTGTTTCTCATTAATATTTGTATTTACATAAACAACCAAATACTTGATAGCAAAGAAATGTCAAACATTTTTAATAACATCAAAACTGAAAAATAAAATTCTATGCAATTAAACAATAAATACTTCCACATGATTAAAATAACCTCATCGTATCAATCACACAGCAATATATTAATCAACGTCATAATTACGTCATCGCCAACGTCATCATCTTCTTTCTTCTCTGTTTCCACTTTCGCAATGGTGACGTTTGGTTCAGGGTCACCGCGTGACTTGCACTCCATGCTGATTGGCTGGCCTTCGACGACTGTCTGGTTCTTAAATTCGTAAACTTCCGGTTTCACTGAGAAATATGTGAGTTCGTGAGTTTTATCTTTGAAGGAAGTTGTAATGTCCGTTATAAATTATTTCAAAAAATTTCATTTATATGCAATTTCAAGAAAAATTAACGTTATCTAGTTATAAACGTTATAAAAGTAAGCGCGCAAATTTTATACAAAGCCACAAAATGCCAAAAACATCAATAAAAAATTGCAACAGCAACAAACAACGACGAAAAACAAACGAACGACAACAAACGAACAACAACAAACGAACAACAACAAACGAACAATAACTAACGAACAATAACAAACGAACAATAACAAACGAACAACAACAAACGAACAACAACAAACGAACAATAACTAACGAACAATAACTAACGAACAATAACAAACGAACAACAACAAACGAACAATAACTAACGAACAATAACAAACGAACAATAACAAACGAACAACAACAAACGAACAGCAACAAACGAACAACAACAACTGACCCAAAACGACGACTACACCATCCCCTCTGTCACTGCCAGCATCGTTGGTGGCCACACATACGTAATCCCCTTTGTCATCAACTTTCAAAGGGCTGAACTTCAAGAGCCCATTCTCTGAATCCAACTTTATACGATCGGTCATTTCCAACTTTTGCCCGTTCTAGTTTACAGTAACAATTATGAATTTTTGATAATTTGTTTTTAATTTGCGATGGTGGAATGGCTAAAGTGCCTGGCTCTGATGCTGAAATGAGGGGTTTAATTGCAAAGCTATCTCCACGTATCACATACAATATGTGTGATGCATAAAAAGAGAGTTCTTGAATCAACAAACTTTCAAACCTTTAGAAAATTAAATTTCGGAGTTGGATAGCCTTGAGCTGAGCACGTCATTGTGACGTCATCACCCTCCACCCATCTGTTCTCGCCAGGAGCTTTTGTGATCTTTGGTGGCTCTGTTGGGGACGTAGAAATTAAATTTCAAATTAAAAAAACTTTTATCCAAAAAATTATGGCAGAAGAAATTGCTGGGAGATCAGAAATTTAAACATCTACACTTGTTAAAACCATTGAATCTAACGAATACAAATGTTTGTCTGTATGTGCTTGCATGTGTACGTATGTCGCGTGTAGGCACGTGTATGGTTGAGTGTGTTTTCAGGTTTATCTGTGTGTGTATATGTGCGTGTGTATGTGTGTATGTGCGTGCGTATGTATATAGGAGCGTGTGAAATCTGAATACACGGCAGCTTGTTATTGTTGTTATTGATCGTAAATCGTAAAAGATGTGTAAGTGACATGATTGATTCTTTTGTTTCACTCAATGAGTTATTAACATTCATCATCGTCTAGACAAGTCTGTTTGGTCCTATTACAAATCAGTCAACTAATCGATTAATTTATCAGAAGGTGGTAACAATAAAATTAGTCATAATTAGTTATAATAATTCTGATATTAATAACCAACAAACACGCAGAATCAACTAATCAAAACCGACCAATCAGCACCGACAAATCAGCACCGACAAATCAGAATCTATCAATCAAAACTGCCCTATTAAAACCATCCAATCACCAACCGTAAACATCGACATTTATGATCTTTTCATCAAATCTTCCTTCCGTTTCAACGTCGGCCTGACATGAATACGCGCCATTATCATCCTTGCTAATGTTGTACACCAGCAGGCCTTCTGGAAGCATCTCGTACTTTTTGTTTGACTTGCTCTCTGTGTTGAATTTGTTAATTTCAAATGTGTTGTTGGGCTTATTTTTTTTTACTTTTCTGAAGAAAAAAATTTTTCCAAAAAATCCAAACCAAACTTACTGAATCTAATCCTGGAGCTGTTGAACTTCCAGGATATCTTAGGTTCAGGATCTCCGGATACGATGCAGACGATGGTGGCGTTGGAGTGCAAAGTGGGATGCTGGTTGGTCGGGGCCGAGTTGAATGTAATGCTTTCTGTTGTAGGATTGGTTGATTGGTTGGCTGGTTGGTTAGTTAATTGGTTGGTTGGTTGGTTGGTTGGCTGTTTGGTTGGTTGGTTGATTGGTTGGTTGGTTGGTTAATTGGTTGGTTGGTTGGTTGGTTGGTTAATTGGTTGGTTGGTTGGTTGGTTGATTGGTTGGTTGGTTGGTTGGTTGGTTGGTTGGTTGGTTGGTTGGTTGGTTGGTTGGTTGGTTGGTTGGTTGGTTGGTTGGTTGGTTGGTTGGTTGGTTGGTTGGTTGGTTGGTTGGTTGGTTGGTTGGTTGGTTGGTTGGTTGGTTGGTTGGTTGGTTGGTTGGTTGGTTGGTTGGTTGGTTGGTTGGTTGGTTGGTTGGTTGGTTGGTTGGTTGGTTGGTTGGTTGGTTGGTTGGTTGGTTGGTTGGTTGGTTGGATGGATGGTTGTCTGGTCAGTTGGTCAGTTGATTTATGATAGGTTGAGGTTGATGATGTTTTATAGTTATTTGATTTTTAATGAATAAAGTTCTGCTAAGAAATTGAATTCCACAACTAACAAATCAGATTAAAGCACAGCAAATTCTAATTGTTAATCAATCAATCATTTAAATCAATCAATCAATCATTCAATCAATCCGTCAATCAATCAATCAGCCAATCAATCTATCAATCACTCAATCAATCATCAAACTAACGAAACACATCAAGGGATATTGATTTAGTTTCAGATTTTCCCTGCATATCTCCAACGCATTTGTATAGCCCCTTGTCTTTCAACGAAACGGCATTTATGAAGAGTTTAAGCATGGAGTTACTGACTTCGATGTACCGGTGGTTACTGTTTTTGTATGTGAATTTTTGTATGTTTGTACGTTTGTATGTGTGTGTATGCATGTTTGTATGTGTGTTTGTGTGTATGTGTATGCATGTTTGTATGTGTGTTTGTGTGTATGTATATGCATGTTTGTATGTGTGTTTGTATGTGTGTGTTGTGTGTATGTGTGTTTGAGTGTATGTTTGTGAGTATTCTTTTGAGTTTTTAAAAAAAAAATTTTACTATTTATTTAACACAGTGTTGAAACGTAGCAGCATATGTTTGTGGAAGTTTCAGTAACAGTTTATTTAATATCTAGTTCGCGAATCCAGCGTCGGTTTGTTTGTTTGCCTATTTGTTTGCCTGTTTGTTTGTTCGTTCGTTCGTTCGTTCGTCCGTTCGTTCGTTTGTTTGGTTTTCCATAATGATGACGACGATGACGACAACAACGATATGATGGTGAAGAAGAGGAAAAATTGTGTGTTACTTTCGTCAGCTTAAATCGTTGCACATTCAATAACATAAACACTTTTTAACCCACCACACCACTTCAATGTTTGTTTATACGCACACGCACACAAAGACGCAATGCATGTGTGTGTGTCTGTGTGTGTGCGTGTGTGTTTGTGTGCGTGTGTGTGTGCGTGTGTGTGTGCGTGTGTGTCTGTGTGTATAGTGTTTGTGTTTATGTGTGTACATTTTTATTGTTTTTGCTATTATTATTATTATCATTACAAATTACGCTAATAGCCTCTGCGAAGTTAAAAGCGCGTTCGACGATTGTTATCCATTGATTGGCGTAATCGTAGCCCCATCATTATCATTATTATTATTATTTTTTTTTTTTATTATTATTAAAATTATTAAATTATATTATTAAAATTTTGGGACAGAAACACTACTTAACAGATTTTAAATATATCTTTTTTACTCTCAAGCACTTGTTGATCAAAGAGCATGAGGAGAGGATCGTAAATTATATTTTATTTATTTACACTATAATATATAATTAATAATTTTCGATGGAGTCCATTTGGATTTTGTTTTTCGGTAAATAAAAGAATGTTCCCATTATTATTATTATTATTATTATTATTATTATTATTATTATTATTATTATTATTATTATTATTATTATTATTATTATTATTATTATTATTGAAACACGAGAGTTGGCCGATTTGATTTCGTACAGCTTACAGTTTTATGCATAATTACGTTTTTATTAGTTGATTAATTGGTTTTAAAATTGTTGTACTGTGTTGATAAAATTGTGTGGAATATGGCGGTGGTTTTAAAATTTAATTTTAATAAAGTCTACTATTTTATTTTAATTATTTTAATAAATTTAATTTACGAAATTAATGCAAGTAAATGCCCGTATTGCGATAAGGATTTTATTCAAGTAAAAAGACACACCTGGCGTTGTGCAAAAAATACCAACTCTAATAACAACATTGTAAGTTCTGCTGAAAAATCCAACGTTGAAGTTTCTCCTAATATTTATAATGCACATTCTATAGATAACAGTTCAATTAATTTGGAAAAAAATATTATTTGCTGCTGCGGTAAAAGCTGCAAAGGTAGAAAAGGCCTTATTATGCACCAACGTTCATGTAAAATGCATAATCAACTTAAATTAACAGACAACCCTGCAAGCGACGCAGATGCAACCTCACCAACCTCGGAGCAACAACCATCAGAACCATCAAATAATTCGACGTCTACTTCGTCACCCTCACCAACAGAATCAATAGAATCAACTCTACCAGGCGTCAAACTACCAAAAAATTCAACACAATGGTCAGAAGCAAACGCCTACTTCCAACTGCAACAACATACACTGCCAAGCTACCACGACATTGACGCATTTGCATATACATTTCAAAACTGATTTACGACTACTTTGCCTTAAATTATGGCACCATCAAACCTCAAACGATCAACAACAACAAAAGTTCCAACAAATCTATTAAAGAATTAAAAATAAATTATTGGGCCGCAACAACCAGGGCTTTGACAATCTTATCAGATCAACAAGTAAAGAACTGCGAGCCAAACTGTTATCAACAAAAATATCAAAATCTGGTAAGTCATGTGGTGACATCACGTCTCATTTGAAACGACGATTCTTGTGGACATGCAGAAGAATATTTGCCCAGACAGAAAATTTGAAACCGTTGTTCAACGTCAGTGATTGCACACATTATTTCAAACAAATACTATCAGATGATACAACAACAACACACGTTTAGACGACATTTTCCCCGAGATCGGGGGTTGCCGTTTGGCTACCTATGATGAAACCGAAATACCCCTCGACGCCATTCCATCATAAGTAATTTATTTGGCAAATTTTTACGCAGAACGCCCTTCCTTACGCAACCACAGTTATAAGCGGTGGGCCTAGCCTTTGATGATCCAACATCACTCACAAGGCAGTGAGGGTTAGGGTTAGGGTTAGGGTCAGTTTAATGTCATAACCAAGACATAAATACTATCAGATGATAACCAGAAAAAATGCCAACTACCAAACTGGACTCAACAGCTACAAAAACCATCAACACCCTGCAGCACAAGCCCTCCATCATACTACGAAATATCTACAATAGTTCGCAAGTACAAAGCTAGATCATCACCTTGCCCACTCGATCAAATCTCGATAATTTCATTTAAAAAATGCTCTATATTACGCACTATTCTACACAAACTATTAATACAATGCTGGTTGTCAGGCAAAATCCCAATTTGTTGGAAAAAGGGCTTCACGATCCTCATCCACAAAAAGGAAGACGCTCACAATCCTTCCAGCTTCAGACCAATAACCTTGCAACCAACACTCTACAAAATATTTTCATCTTTTATAAATAATAGAATTTACAAATTTTTAGAAATCAACAATTTCATAAATAAAAACATCCAAAAGGGCTTCTACCCGAAAATAGATGGTGTTACGGAACGTAATCAGCTTTTAACTCACCTACTCTACGATGCGAAGAACCACTATCGTCGCACTTCTCGATATTCGCAACGCATTCGGTGAAGTCAGCCATAAACTCATATCATCAACTCTGGATTTTCATCACATCCTCTCTCAAATTATCAAACTAATTGAACATATATATACCGACTACTCAATCACAGTTTCCGGATGCGACCAACTAACCCCGCCCATTCCAATCAAGCGTGGTGTATTGTAAGGTGATACTGCTTTTCAACTTCTGCTTCAACCCCCTGATGAAAGTCATAGAACAAACAGAGTACCAACAATGCGGGTACATATGGGGTCCGTCAGCCAGCTTAAAGACAAGAGCGTGGCTTCAGTTCGCAGTCGACACGGCCATTATCGCCAATAGCACCGAAAGTGCTCAAAAACTCATAGATGTAAATCACGCTTGGTGCAAAGCAACTGGAATGAGTTTGAGAACTGACAAGTGTTCCTCGTTCGGTATGCGAAAACGCAGCGGAGTTTACGAACAATTCCTTCCGGCGCTATCGATCGACATCAAACAAATCCCCCATGTTGACATCTGAGGTTATTTCGAATATCTGGGGAAAAATATGATTTCGAAGACAACAACACGAACGCCAAAAACCAGATGATCATCAAACTCAAAACACTACTATCAACCGTCAGTGAACTGGATACAACAGTTCAGTGGAAGCTTGAAATCCTTAGAAAATATCTTCCATCTCAATTTGCGTTTGAATTTCGCATGTACAACATTTCACTGACTTGGATTAGTATGCATCTGGACACCGTAATCACCGAAACAGTAAGATCATGGCTGTCATTGCCCATTAGTAGCTGTCTGTCGGAGACATTGTCACTCCCATATAAACTAGGCGGCCTAAACGTTAGATCTCTCAAAAATTTTGCCGAATCTTTGAGATTAAAACTCCGTAGCTACCTGAAATCAAATGGCAACGAAGAACTTAAATGTTTATGGAGCGAGTCCTATAGCAATTATATAAAAATCGACAATTTGCTTCCTGACTCAAAGGGCATAAAACCGGCACTCAGCATGTTAACGATCAAACAACAAAATGCAGAACTCGAACATCTATCGCTACTCCGTTGCCAAGGGACAATTTTAAAAGTGATCAAAGACCAGATTCCCGCAGCTAGAATTGCTCACTGGTCGAAATTCACTGCAAACCTCCCAGAAATACTGTTCAAATTTGTTAGGAGAAGTCTCATCCAACAACTCCCCACAAATGCAAATTTGTTCAAATGGGGCAAATCATCAACGGCTGACTGTCCATTGTGTAAAGCGCGGCAAACAAACAAACATGTTCTGTCTAATTGCAATTCGGTGGCAGCACTAAAAAGATTCACAATGCGTCACAACAAAATTTTAAACATAATTATAGAAAGGTTGAAAGCATGCGCGGTCCAGAGTTTCGATATATGCAGATGTGACT